GACGACGATGTTTTGTACCACGATGTTTTAGGACTGCGATGTTTTCTCTTTGCGATGTTTCCCCCACGATGTTTTGTAGCACGACGTTTTCGCCTTGCGTTGTTTTCTCCGCGACGTTTTCGGCTGTAACCAAAACCATCGAAACTAGTCCTGTGAAAATTTGAAAATATAACGCTGATTTTTGTTGTTTGACTTTTAAAATAGTAAAGGAAAGCCTATTAATAATCAACTTATATTTAAAGTTGGTATTTAACTGTAAGATAATATATACAGTAATAAAGATATAAAATAAATGTTTCCACATGGAGTTTATTTTTTAATATGTTTACACAATTTTAAACATGCGTTGTGGTTATAGGATAGTCATTAGAGAACTTCAGCTAATAGAGTCTATAGGATATTTCTAAGCAAGCGAGTTGAAAATTAACTGTACCTTTGCCTGGATTTGAGCCATGCATCTAATACTTTTTATCCGAATTCCCGATGTAGTGTATTGTGATCATTTACACCACAAGAGCACTCACGAAAGGAAACAAAAATTCTTTACAAGCGAACAAAAATGGAATCTATTGCATTTCAACATGAAACAGAAATCTAACTGGGCTCTAAAAGCACAAGTTACAGTAAATATTCAATAGTCAACCAAACGCCGAATTCAGAAATGCGTTAAATTAATTCCAAAATCTTTACCAACTTCTCCTGATCAGAATTATGTAACATTTTCTAAAAGTGTTTTCTGTGCTTCTAAAATATCGGTGCATAATGGCCAATGTATTAAAGTTGAAACGACTTTTTTTCACAACAAACATTTCTTTACTTAATTTTTGCACTAAAATATAAAACCAGTTTTGGAAAGAAACAGAAATATGTATAAAGAAATTGCATAAAATCTTTCAGAGACACGTTAGCACGGTTTCACATTTTTAAATCTTGAGAGGACATGAAGATTTCAACAGTCGTTTTTCTCTCTGAAATTTGCTGGTTAGTATATATTTCAAGAAAATCTGTTCAATAATGTTACGCAGTATTTATTAATGTTCTATATCCTTTACATTACTTTATTCAATACAAAAATACATAATTATTATTCTTTAAATTATTAATGTAGAAAATATCTAGAATATCGTCAGCTTCAATCAAAAGTACAGGAATCTGAATTTTTTCCCAAAAATGCTTTGCGGTTTTTCAATGTTTTTTACACTAAGCTTTAAAAAATGTATATTCTACGTTTTGTGTATGCTAGAATTATCGTGTAGAACTCATAAATTGATTTTTTGCAGTATCAATAATACATTTCAACACACTTTGTAAGATTTATTTTAATTAGTATATTATTTATTAAGTTGAAACTTTTCTGTAAGTTTACTGTTTCGTCTGCTTTACTAAAAAAATGAAAATCAAGTGAGTTTAAAGAGAAGAGAATCTAAATTCAGGAGGAAAGATTGCAGAGAGAACTGGGAAAGTGGTTTTAATTTTTTCAGTTAAAAAGATAAAAAAGATCACGAATAAAATTAACTAATTTCAATAAATGCACAATTGAGATAAAAAGAGACTTAGCGATACTCAGTATCGGTCTATACCATGTCAAGAATATCCGTGTAACCCTTAGAATGGCTTGTATAATTCTCTCCTTGAGATAATAGAGATTTTCAGTTCCTTCACTATAAATGTCATTTCTGACAAAGTCTCAAACAGAGACGTGTAGTGAGCTAAGAACAGGACATCTTTAGGGCCATGAGATAGGTCCGTTTCTGCCAATCCGGCGTTCTAAAAATCAGCGACTTTACTCGTCTCGCACGACTCGCAAAATGAGGCGGTGCTTCCATGTTGTTGAAAGAAGTTCTACGACTCCGCGACTTCCATTTCCATTCGATCGATTTGGCGGAACGAAACAGTTTTTGTTGCATGTTTGAAGTGGAGTTGTGAAGTTGATATCAGTTTCAACAAAGAAAAAAAAAAGACTTTAATAATACATACAGATAATATCGCTGAATAAGTGAATTTAATAAAAAGTACTTTCAATTCAATTCATGTTCCACAGAAACCTCATGAAATCCCAACGTTGTTCTCTAAAGCAATTATTCTCGAATTTTTCATAATGTGTTGATCTTCGCTTTTGTAGAAATCATTTCAGAAAAATAGTTTTACAGTTTTAAAATCTGAAAAAGAAAAATTAATGTATACTGCTGATAAACTATTATTCAGTTTTTACTATTATATTTACAGATTTTATTGGCTTGGTTTGGTTTATTTAATTATGGCGAATCACTCGAGAGCTATCTGCCTAAGGGAACGATACCTTCGTGGAGTATTTTCTAAGGGAAACTGGCTCTTATACACATTACACACGGGAAAACCACGAAAGCGCCCATGCAATCGCCGGGATTCGAATCTCGTAATTAATTACCAGTGTTCAGCAATTTTACCGCTCGCCCGTTGGTGGGCGAGACTTTATTGAAAAATTTTCATTGCATGTCATGAATGTCGACACTTGTTCTATGTTTTGTACTAAACATTAATTTTTAATTTAAGCTTTTTATTAAATACTATGCAAACCGTTCTCCAAAGCAAATTTTCCACTAAACTCACCATCGAAAATCTTTCCATTGAATATTAATTCATTGTAAAGATATTAGGTTTTTTCTTAATGCAGGAGACATGAAAATGAGCAATGCCTTTGTCGGAACTCGAATTTGGACCTCTCGAATACGCGGCGAGTGTTCTACGTTACACCACAAAGTCATGCTTTGAAAGAAGGAGAAAATTCCTGTTTAAGAATGACTAGGGATTAGAAGACCGAATCGCCAAGTCCTAATGGTGACGAATTATTGTTCGCCACTTTTAGTTCGGGCGCCACTGTAGAGACATTAGGTATTTTTGAAGCAGGAGACATGCGCCGGGACTCAAACCTGGGATTCTTGTTTCCATCTGACTGTGCTACCGTTACACCAAGAAAATACCGTTACACCGAGAAAATAATTGAAACTAGGGCTAATAATTATACTTCTCTTGAAAATATATATTTCGATATTCCAATTGCAATTTATTGAAGCAAATTAATTATTTAAAATTTGGTACCTCAAAGTTTTAAAATATTATATAAAATAAAAAGTTACGTTTCAATTGCACTAATAAGAACGTGTATTGATGATTCTAAAATAAAGTAAATAACGAAAGTAAGTAAAACTTTCTAAATTAAAAAAAGATAATTAACTGGAATGTCTGACTTGAAAATCACTTTTTCTAAAATAACTTAAAAAAGGGTGTTAAATTACAGATATTTTAATTAAATATAATTGCATATCAGTAATAACTGTTAAAACAATATGAATATATAAATGCCGTGAATATGCAATGTAAGCATTAATATTTATTGGCAATTGGAAAAAAAGAATTGTTAAAGTAAAGGATATAAAAAAAAACATTCAATAATAGGATTGGATTGTGGATTATTCAATTATGGCAAAGCACGCGAGGGCTATCTGCGTAAAGAGAGTGATGCCATCGTGGAGGCCATTCTAAGGATAATTGTCTCATACGCACGTTACATATGGGAAAACCACGAAAACACCCATGCAGCCAGCCCGTTCGCGGGATTCGAACCTCGCACCGAACTACCAGTGTTCAGCGTCTTTACCGCTCTGCCGCTGGTGGGTTGTTCAATAACAGCAAATGAACTTATTAATCGCAAATTAATCCATATTTTTTGTAATAAATGCTGTTTTGACCTACATTAAATGTATCCAAATGCCAATATAAAAGACATCGTAAATTCAAAAGGTATAATTAAATAATTGCAAATGAACTAAAAAATAGCGTAAATAAAATTGGAGCTTTCAACATTCTAAACACAGAAATAAATGGCATTTATTCTTCACAATTGCCATAACTCATTTACGAAAATTGTATTATAAATAATAAATTAATATTAATTTCCGTAATTTTTAGCTCATATTTTTAAAAAAGGGGATAAAAATGTTTTTTTTAAAAGGAGATTAAAATTATAAAAAAATTTGTTTATGAATTTTTTAAAGCCAAATAAAAAAAAGCATATCCCATTTAGAGAAGATAAATAAGTCCAATTTTGTTCTGAAGATTTCTTTAATTAAATTTTAAAATAAATGCTAAAAAACTAAATATTATTTCAAACTAAAACTTGAAAAAAATTCGAATATTTCCGATTTAAACATTTTAAGCCATTCAATGAATATACCTTTCTTTGAAGTATGATACCAGAGTTACTCAAAGGTAAGAAATTCTTGTTTCGGCATTAATAGATTTAATTACTTTATTCATGATAGTTGACCTCCTTTTGATTAAAAAAAGAAGCAGTCTATCTTAAATTTTCAAGATATATTGCTTCATGTGAGAAATATCTTTCTAAAAACAAATTTCAACGTATAATAAATAGTGTAAGAGAAAACATTACGTTAATCTAGGCCAGACTATATGCAACACATATAATCATAACGACATTTCACTGAAAGCATAAAAAAAAAACATTAAATTATGTCCCTGTACCAAACAAATTACTAAATAATTCCGTTCTAGATTTTGCTTTTTTCCACTTGACCGACGCATGCTACAAAAAAAAAAAACCTGCGAACAAAATCTCCTTCTTAGCCTTGTAAATGTTACCGCAATTTACTCACAATCCCTAATCGATTAAACGAAAGGAAGGAATAAAACAATTAAAAGATCGAAATTCAGAGAACAAAGGGGGTGGAGAAAAGAGAAGAGAACAACAAGTAACGAACAAAACAAAAAAAAAAAAGAGAAAGAAAGTGAAAGCTCAGCGAGGGATGAGGTAAGTCTGTCCATCCTCCTGGTTTGCCGGTTCCTCCACTTGCCCTGATTTCGATCCTGTCTCGGGGCCCTCAGCCACCGCTTCGGTTTACACACAAAAGGACAAGTCGGGCAGGGGGGGGGAGAGCAGAGGGAGGAGGAAAAGGGGGAAAGGAAGATGCCGATGATACGAGAGGAAAAGTGTGATAGGGTCAGACCTAACGGGATGACATCGTTTCCTGGTCAGGTATATAAAGACCTCGATGGTCCCATGCCGGACATCAGAATCCTCTTTGGCTTCTTACCTCTCTCTTGTGCTCTGAAGCCTTTCTACGATTTACGAGGAACATTCCCGCCATGGAAAGCAAGGTGAGTATTTGAACTAATGGGATATTGCATCTCTGGATTAAGTTTTACTTCATGTGGATTTTTCTGCTGACTACCAGTCGATCTTCTCGCGATTACGGTTAAGTCGCCAGAGCCTGAAAAATTTCCGATCAGTATAAATAATTGAATGCGATTTTCTTCTAGCTACATTACCGAGGAATTCATATTGAACTTAAAAATCAGTTTCCGAGTGAAAAATATTTAACTGAAAATGCAGGTATTAAGTTTCATATCGGATTCATATAGCCAGTAAAATTTCAGAATTTTATTCTCGGGCCCATTAAACGTGGAGTTCAACTAAATATGCCAGTATATTCTACTTAACTTATGTTCATTTGTAAGAATGAGATTATTCGAAAATATCAGTTGAAATTCCAGTCTTAAAAAAAAAGTTTCTAGAATTTTATTTATTTACTTATTTATTTGAAACATTCTTCGTTTGTTTACGATTCTATCGGATTTTTACGGCTTAAAGCAAAGTTTCATAGACTTACTCTGTATTCTTTCTTTTAAGATATATTTAAAATTTTCTCTTTAAAACGGCGTTTTAAATATATTAGGAATATTTCCTGCTTTTAATTCTTTTTTCATATGTTAGAAAACGAAAAAATAACGGCAGGCGTAAAATCTTCGAAGTGGAAAAATTAAAATATTTCTAATCGTCATTGTTAAAAATCTTCCTTCCTTTATTCTTCTTTATTTAAGACTTAATTGCTTTTAATACATTAAGTAAAGCTGATTGAAACTTTATATAATATTTTTATTATGGCTAATTAGTATATTCATAATTTCACATGCGTATGATCACTTTCAACATTTAAAATAAACAGAGAAAAACTTTCCTTCTTGCCAATATCTCTCGATACTTTTATATGAAGCATTTTTTAACTAAAAATTTTCGCCTGTTTACGACCATTTATATATTACGCATTTGTAATATTAAATAAAAACTACTGAAGATCTCAGAACTTAAAATCAAAAAAATTAAAGTATTGATGTGTGCCACTGTTAAAAAAAATATTTCATTCTTTTCATTGAAAATTATTGCTTAGATTTATTGCTTCAAACTTATCGCTTTCAATATCACTCTGTGCGATGTAGCGTAGCAGTTAAATACTTAATATTGTCAGTATTTTATGATATCTTTACTAGTGCTCTTCACGTTTCTAAATAATTCCTTAAGAATTTTTATCAAATAATTTCCTTTAGATTTTTAAGTACTGTTCATTCCGTCAATATTGCTCATGTCCACAGTAACTGTGAGAATTTTTTAAATTATTCGGTAAATCCGTTTCCGACTGACATAACTATAATGTAATTAGGCATGTTTTAAAAGTTCCAATGTTCCAATATTTGAGTTTTAGTCAAGATTAGTGCATTATTCATATTTTTATTCCTTTATAAATCCAGCATTAAATATCGAAACTCCATGTAAGATTTCAAACTGTCTTCTACTTTTCAAAGCAAGATTTTCAGATCAGTCCATATAATCAAACGAAATTATGACTCTTTAATTACGAGAATTACGTGCATATGAACATGTTTTTCTAAAAGAAAACCAGTCAAAACTTTCAGAACGAAAATTAATTTATTTTTTCTGCTTGCAACTTGGATTTAGGCAATCTAAATTTTAAGTCAAAACTAATGCATTTAGAAATCATTCGTAATAAAATTAAATTCCGAAATTAAAAATATGATTATTTAGAACTCAGTTAAAATGTTTTTTTTTTTAATTATACTTCTAGCTGATGTAAAGAACTAACTGAAATATCCGTTCCACTCCCGGGGGACGAGATAAATTAAATACTGCCTTGAGGAGACATAATTTAAAATGTAAATAACAAAAATACTTATACTTTAAAAAGTAAATAACAAAAACACTTATAATTTAAAAAAGTAAATAACAAAAACGTTTATAATTGTAAAAAGTAAATAACAAAAATGCGTATAATTTTTGTTAAAAAATTGTAGATAACAAAAATGCTTATAATTTAAAAAAGCAGATAACAAAAACTCTTTTAAAAAGTAAATCTCAAAAACAATTATAATTTTAAAAAGTAAATAACAAAAACAATCAACGTCTAATTCTCAATGCTGAAAACACAACCTAAACACAGAAAGTGCCGGGACATACAGATATTTCGGCTTAGGCCCTTTGTACATCCCCCCCCCACCATCCACGGTGTGCCGATCATTTATTGGCTCCTCCCTCAAGCAAGCCCAGCTACAATCTTTTCTTTCTCAGCTACTTTCACTTCTCCATCCCTACAATGACTTGCACCGATGATCGTTGATAAACTGCACTATGGCATTATATTATAGATAACAGGTGATAAATGCAAACTGCTATTTAAATTTTTTATATTACTTTAAAACTAGTAAAATTCCTTTCCTTTTTCTGAAACACTGCATGTTTATTATTAATCTCCATTTAATTTTATGGTTTTGAGAAAGAACTTAACTGGCATTTTCTGGCATTGTTTCCAACTTTCTGGTATTATTTTTTAATTCACCAAAGTCCCATAAGCCTGTTAAATAATATATTCCTAACAGAGAGTTTTGAATTCAAATATATATTACTATTTATTTAACTAATGATTGATGTTTTAAATTATCATATGTTAATACTTTTATTAATACTAATTGCTTCTTCTTCGGGGGAAAAAAATGTAATGTTCTTAGCTTGAAAATTCTGCATTTGTCTTTCGGTCTCAAAATTTATCTGAGAGTAATATAATGTCTGAAAATGCTTTTAAGAATCGCGAAATTTTCTGCTTAAATGTTTATGCAAAATTTTTCAAATAAATAAATATAAATAATAATCATATTGTTCAATTATGAGCAAAACTTATAAATAAATGCATTGAGTAGCATTTTTTGAATTCTATTTCTCATTAGTCGAAATAAATGGTTATTGTTTACGAAACAGAATTTTATAAATTTATTCAACATTCCGAAACGGAAAGTAACTTTCACAAAGGAGAAAGTTTTCCCGTACAAGGAGAAAGTGTTCTCTTAGCGCCATCTGGTGATAAACAAGAAAAAACGCTTATTTGAAAAATGTTTCTATTGCAGACCTAACTTCCTATACCCGTACTAATTTTTTAAAATTGCAAATAATTAGGATGTGCATAATTTAATTCTTTCAAAATTTTATAGACGGGTAAAACTGTTAGAAAAAGCAAGGAGTTAATTTTAATCAATTCAATTGAAATTAATTTAGAAGTCAAACAACAAAATAATATAACGCTGATTTTTGTTGTTTGACTTCTAAATTAATATTTGTTCGGCGTGTTATTGTATCTTAATTCAATTTAAATTGTTTTAGATGATGAACAGAATGTAATGTTCAGAAATTTATTGATTATTCGCAGTCATATAATCTGCAACCATCGAACTTTCAGTTACAGAATTCAGCTAAATTCATAATATGCTAAATGGCGAATTTACAGAATAAATCTACTAAAAGGACATAGAAATACTTGTAATTTTTAGCAATATTAAACTTGATTTCTTTTCTCTTGTGAAAATAGCACGAAGCAAATTTGTTTTTCGTTTAAGATTAAAGAATAACTCATCTCTGTATTTAACAATCGATAGATTTAAAACAAATATGTTGAGCTGATTTTAATTAAACAAAATTCAAACTTATCTTCAGAGTTTAGGTGTTTAACAAGATACCGCTTGCATACGGAATTTAACAAGAAACCCTTTTGCATTTCGGAAGATTCCAATATAATTCTCTCTTCTACAAAGAACATTTGCCCGGAATGTATTTTTCAGCTCTTTAACAATATATAGGGTATGTTTTCCTTGAAGAATTACATTTCAGTAATTCACTCACGTGGGCAAAACCAAAAAATATTTCTTTTCGTTCAAATAGTTATTCGTTATTCTGAATAAATTCTTATAGCTATCAAGATATGTATTCTTGTTTGAGACTGTTAATAAGAATAGTTTTCTTCTAAAACTATTGAATCTCAAATTAAGTATTTTTTGTGCTTCAGTGCTTTAAATCACAGTGGCTTTTGTGTTTCAGTTTTGAACCAGGAAACTTATTTCACTGTTATGGTACTTATTAAAAAACTCTCTATCACTGTCTGATAAATAAAACAAAGAATAATTTAAAGTATACTCTACTGTTAATCTGACTATTCTTTAAAAGTTTGTTATATAGTTCTCATTTACAGAATGAAATACATTGCATATTTTCTCCTTAACTGATATTTTTCTTCTGAGTTTATACCTGTGGGTTGTACTAGCCAGCTTTTGAATTACTTTATCTGAAAATCATGTAGCATGCCCGAAATTTCAAATTCATTCAATATAAACTTTTACGTACTACCAGCACTTAGAGAGTCCTCCACGAAGGCATTCCTCTTTTTAGGCAAATAGCCATATTTAAATAATCTAACCTAACCTCACATACTATCAGTAAATAAGAGGGAGTTTTAATTTATCATTTTAAATGTGCTTAGTTAATGAATGAAAATAATTTCTTATAACTATCAAAATACGTGGAAACATTCAACTTTACGTACTTTAATAATTTCGAAAAGTTCCAACATATTTTTTATTTTCTTCTCTACTTTAATATAAGCTTATTTCATATATGAAGCAATGTACGTTAGTTTATGATGCCAATAATAATTACGTATTCATTGCAGTAAAAATATGTGGGGCTTGATATTTTTAATTCTGCTTGTTTAGCAGCAGCGCTTTTTGCAGTAAACTTTTTTTAAAAAATATGACGAAATTACGTCGTGTAAATACGTCATGTAAAAAATATTATATTACAGTAGAAGATAATGCAAAAGCCCAATTCTCAGAAGTTCGGAACAAACGCGTTAAAAAATAACTATGTAGATAAATTGTTTTATAAATTTGTTTTTTAAAATGTTACTCTTGTATTCCAATAGGTTTTCTTGTTAAGTATTCTCCTGCTGGCATCGACTCTTGGTAAGAGCTACCAGAAAGGATATGGTGGCGCTCAAGGAGGTGGAGCACAAGGAGGTTATGGAGGCGCAGGTGGCCTAGGAGGAGGTGCAGGAGGTTACGGAGCCGGTGGAGGCCGTGGAGGAGCTGGAGGGGCTGGAGCTGGAGGATATGGAGGATCTGGAGGTGCTGGAGCTGGAGCTGGAGGATACGGAGGATCAGCTGGTTCAGGCGGTGCTGGAGCTGGCTCTGGTGGTTATGGAGGTTCTGCAGGATCGGGTGGAGCAGGCGCCGGTGGATATGGCGCTGGAGGTGCAGGAGCAGGAGGTTTCAGAGGCAGCGCAGGAGGAGCTGGCGCTGGCGGTTATGGAGGAGGAGCTGGTGGATACGGTGGTGCTGGAAGTCGAGGCGTCGGAGGAGCAGCTGGTGGAGCCGGTGCTGGCGGATATGGAGCAGGAGCTGGTGGATATGGAGCAGGAGCTGGAGGTGCCGGAACAGGCGGCTATGGAGGCGCAGCTGGAGGAGCCGATGGATATGGAGGAAACGAACAGGTTAGACAAGGTCTTCAATCCGGTTATGGTGGCAGTGCCGGATTTGGTGCAGGTAAAGCTGGTGATGGTTCTGCTTTCACGGCATACGGTGGCGGCTTTAATAATCAAAACGCTATTGGCGGTGGATTCGTCAGTGAGCAAGGCGGATTCAGCGGATTGCGTGGTGATACAGGAATCAGGGGAGTCAGTTCCGGCGGCTTTGCTGGTGTTGGTCAAGGGAACTACAAGGGGGAAGATGGTGGATACGACAATAGTATTAATGTAAGTTCACGCTAAACCATCAGATCAGGGCAAAATTTATGTCACTGAGAGAAAACAGCTAGTTTAAACGGGGTGCATTTTGTTAGAACAGACTGCAAGTTTTAGATGTAGAAGAAAGTGAATACCAGAAAGTTTAGAACAAGTAAAATAAAAATGAATTTCTTAAGTTGATGATCAAATATAAAAAGAATTTTAAAAATATATTTTAATGCAGATCCATCTTAACTAAACAAGTGCTACATAATTACTGTAAGCAAAATAATAAATTAACTCTTAACTTTCTTTTACTAAAGTTTAAAAACAAACATTTCTCATTTGACACAGAAGGATAAAACTGCATTTCGCAACTGTAACTGTAAATGAAAACGCAATTTTTTCTCATTCAAATCTTTGAAAGCTCTATTTTAAAACAATTCTTCCGCTTCGCTTTGATTTTCTTTTAACAACTTTTAACGGGAGACAGTGTCATTAGAAACCTGTTTACTCCAGTTAAAACGCAGTTTGTGTACAAGAATAACATTAACTTGTTGATTTGAGGTCTCTGAACGCTTAATTGAAGGTTCGGATCGCTTACGTCTCTCAAAGATGAGTTGTAGCAAAAACTAGTTTCTTAACCTTTGAACTTCAGGAACCTTAGCTGCTGTTCAGTTGCGCACCGGCAGAGTTGATTCATATCGAATTTTTAAATAAGTCACTGACCTACAACTAGATGTTGAATTTATTTCTTTATCAACAAAGACGCCTTTGTGCTAAGCGCAAATTGAAGCAGAATTATTATTACAAAAACAGAAAAAATTCAGAGCAACTATATGCATGCAAAGATATTTCATAAAAAAAAAGCAAATCACTTAAATTATATTTAATGTACTCTTTCTCACACAGCATACGATTTAAATTCATTTCGACTTCATTATTTCCCGCTATTTTATTTTATATGCCTAGTGTATTCTTCAAGTACCGTAAAACTACTTGTAATGCGCATTCTGCAATTGAATTGGGTATTGAAATATTTCTCATCGTGAGGTTTTTCCACCGGAAGTCTGTGCTCCAAATATGGAAATAACTGCTTTTATATCTTTGCTGGGATTCATAGCTCTGAATTGGCCGCTTTGTGACATAAATTTTGAACTGAGCTTTTATTTGCATTGCTTTCAGGTGTAATTCCGCGCTTATTTTGCAACAGCAGCTCGCTTTGTTGCTATTGTAAAATTAAAAGAGAGGTTTTTAATCTAAAATCAGTTGCATTTCAATTTATATTTCAAAAGTTTTATTTAAGGAAGGCATTAAAGTAAAAAAACGTTCCTCTAAGTTGTTTTCTATTGTAAATATTGTCTGAAAGCAGTCAATATACATAACAACGACTAGCTTAGCATTTATCTCAAACTCATAACTCGCATTCAAAGTTTGAAATGAAAAACATGATTAAAAAAAAACCCATACTCAAAATTTTAAATTTCAGGTTATCAGTATTTAAGAAAGCATTCTTAATTGTAGAAGTTTTAGATTCCATATTTCCGGTTTGAAAATTTCACTTGATTTCTTGTTAAAGAAAGGAAAATATTAAAATTCTTTTAGAACCTTTTACAATCTTTCGCCGGAAAACTAATGTAAAGAATAATTATTTACGGATAATAATCATTCTTTTATTTATCGACGGTTAAAAATATTTGTTAACTAATAAAACGCAGCTGAATTTAAATATAGATCATTACTTATTGAATTATGTAACGCGCGTTTATCTCAGTATATTTAACTACGTGATGTACTACATTCGCATAAATTGTTTTTAAATAATTTACATACATTTCTTTTTCTAGTATCCACCTCAGCCTTATCAGTTCGACTACAACATTCAAGACGAACAAGGAAACACTAATTACCGCCAAGAACAGGGAGACGAAAACGGTAATGTCCGAGGCACTTACGGTTACACTGACATCGATGGAGTATACCGAGTAGTAGAATACGAAGCTGATGCCAATGGATTCCGGGCTAATATCAGAACTAACGAACCTGGAGTAGGCAAAGACAGCCCTGCCGATGTCGTCATAACTGCTGAAGAACCACCTGCAGCAGTAGTTGCCAGATATCAGAATGCTGGTCAAAAGGGATATGCTGGAGGACAAGGTGCAGGTGCCGGAGGTTATGGTGCTGGACAAGGTGGAGCTGGAGCAGGTGCTGGAGGGTATGGAGCAGGAGGAGCTGGAGGTGCCGGTGGTTATGGTGCCGGAGGAGCTGGTGGTGCTGGAGGAGCAGGAGCGCGCGGCCAAGGAGGAGCCGGTGGATATGGAGCAGGCGGACGAGGACAAGGAGGATTAGGAGGAGCAGCTGGTGGCGCTGGAGGACGTGGTCAGGGATACGGAGCAGGAGGTGCTGGTGGCTACGGAGGTGCAGGCGGTGCCGCTGGCGGACAAAGAGGCGCTGGAGGATATGGAGGTGCAGCTGGCGGACAAGGAGCTTCTGGTGGATATGGAGGAGCAGCTGGTGGACAAGGAGCCGCTGGTGGATATGGTGGGGCAGGCGGACGAGGTGCTGGAGCAGGTGGTTTCGGCGCAGGAGGACAAGCTGGAGGCGCTGGTTATGGTGCTGGTGCAGGCAAATCAGGTGGCGCAGCTGGCGGTTATGGAGGCGCTGCAGGTGCTGGAGGTAGTGGCTACGGAGCAACTGGCGGTGCAGGTGCAGGAGGTTTAGGTGGAGCTGGAGGATATGGAGCTGGAGCAGGTGCTGGAGGCTTAGGGGGAGCCGGAGGATATGGAGCTGGGGCAGGTGGTCGTGGTGGAGCAGGTGCTGGAGGATACGGATCTGGAGCAGGTGCTGGAGGATACGGATCTGGAGCAGGTGCTGGAGGTTTAGGTGGAGCCGGAGCTGGTGGTTATGGTGGTCAACAGGGAGGAAGAGGAGGAGCTGCTGGAGGTTTAGGTGGAGCCGGAGGAGCAGGAGCTGGTGGTTATGGTGGCCAACAGGGAGGAAGAGGAGGAGCTGCCGGAGGTTATGGTGGATCTCAAGGTGGTGGAGCTGCAGGATTCGGAGGAGCAGCAGGCTCAGGTGGAAGTTACGGAAATCAAAAAGGAACCAAATACTAAAGGCTCTTATTCAATCTAAGGAACTGTAATTTTAAAGAAAGATTCTAGCTTTATGAGAATCGCTGTCGGGACATCGTGTCAGTCCTGAACGGTGGCTCGCCGATATCATCCCATCTGAGATCATTAGGCGAAATATGTCTTCATTTCTACATGTTTTAACGCGGGTGCTCATCTGAATGAACTGTATATTTTGAAGCTTGTCTAATTTAATAATGATTGCGGCGCAAACGGAATACTTCTTCCATGGGGCAAATGTGTGTTCAGAACGATGAAAATCGTTCTTTTTTGTCCATCTTGTCAATTCGCCAATTTCTACAATACGGGCATCTTGCCCGCTAGCTGCAAGGTGGACTATCGGGTTCTTTGTTACAATCTGTCCTGATATTATTTTATTTGTTTGAATAAAGTTGTTGTTATTTATAAATGATCTAGTCTGTCTCTGGAAGTAAAATTTCTAACATTTCACGTTTTATAAAGCACGCTACTTAAGGTAATGAGAGCATGACTACAATCGTTTCCTGAAACTTTACAAAATCTGTTTTATTCAGACAATACATTTTTGAAATTGTAAAGACCTAATCAAAAAAGGAAGTCTTAACAAAAATGTAACACATTTAAGGATCATCCCTAATATGTCAGCAGCTTCTTTCTTATAACTCGATTAGCTCGATATGATTATGAATGAAGTCTAAGAATATACTAAGCGTAAAATATAATATGAAACAGAGAAATTAGGTATGAATTGAAATAATGCATTACATTCCAAGCAATGTCTGATAATCTGAAATTCTAGTTATCTAAAATGTTTCTATTAATATGAACACGAAATATCGAAAATATTTTATTAAGAAAAGCTTTAACGAACATCTGTTTCATCTACAAGCTTAAAGTATAACTTTAAAATTGTTACTTTTTAAACTCACAATTTCCATCTCTCCTCACTGGATTTCACAAAAGAAATATTTCTTCAGCTTGTTAAAAGCAAAAGGTTTTTTCAGCGTGATAAAACTAAATCCAAATCTCTAATCCAAATCTAATCTAAACTAAATCCAAACTAATACTAATCTCTGAAATCCAAAAATACATCTGAAAACCAATTCGTAGAATACGCCAGTAATACAAACTGCCTAATCCCGGTTTGACGAAGACATTTCTAATTAAAGTTATTTATTTCGAAAATAACGAAACATAAACATAAAATTCTGCAATTTTTATGTTTGATATTTCAGGTAATTGTTTACATTTTATTGAGTTTACCTCATTTGTAACTTGTGTTTGTTTCTTCAATTAACCTTAACTGTATTGAAAATCTAATTTTTATAAAATACTCAAAAAAGCAACATTATTTTTATTCTATAATGCATTCTATAGAGCGACTCATCTTGATTAATATACATTTTACACATACAGATTTACTTAGCACTCAGGTGACGTAAATTCCGATACATTTTTTAAATGCACACTATAACAAATAACTTCTTCACTGTACTATAATCTAAAATTACTATTTGCATTATGTGAAAATGCTACTGTATAACTTCTTGTTCACACAATCAGTCAACTGATACTTTCAAACTATTTATGTTAGCCTAAAAATCTCTGCCTGGATTATTTTAACTCTAAATATATAATTTAAATGATGTTTTAATAAAATCTTTTACGAATCGAAAAAGAAAATCACTATAACCTTAGTTTCCTACAATGCGTCAAAATGAAAATAGTTTTAGTATTTTTTTAATATTTAATATTTTTTCAAACCTCTTACACATTATAAGACAAATTTTAAAAAAGTGGCCTTCGAACATTCATGTTTGCATTAGTAGCGAAAAGCATGAACAATAAAGAAGAGTCCTAAGGTAAAGCAAATTATCACAGTTAAAACATACTAATATTCTTGAAGAAAGGTGTGTTCAAAATTATAAAAATTTTACTTGGTTTTAATAAATTCCAAGTAAGATAATTTTACTTGCGGTCCATCCATGACTAGAGGGTTCTTATAATTTTCTATGACTTATGAATTGGAGAAGCAAACTGAAAATTGTGTTTTACCTAAGATTCATTAACAAATACTGCAAGTGAAGAAGCTTCAATCTGTCATATTTCCAGTCATCATCATTTATTATTTCTTAACATCACTCAGAACTCACTGCCATCATGAGTTGAGTTCATCATAATATTTTGCTGCTATCTTTTCTTTTCAAAAAAACAAAAATTGAGGTAGAGAAAAAGAAAAAAGAAAGAAAAGTAATTATTCTAAAAAAATAAATAACTTGTAGAGACATTAGGATTTTTGAAAGCGGACGAGATGCAAAACGCGCCACGCCTTCGCCGGAAATCGAATGACGGACCTCTGGAATACGCGCCCAGCGTGCAGACCACCACACCACAAAGGCACGCTAAGAAGGTGGAAGAAATACCTTATATACTCCCCCTTTTAGAGGGCGACTGGACTTTTAAAGGACCCAATCGCCAAATTGTGGGTGGGGAGAATCGTCACCCCTTTCATTTCGGGCGCATCTGTAGAGACATTAGGATTTTAGAAGGTGGACGAGATGAAAAATGAGCAACGCCTTCGCAGGGAATCGAACCACGGACCTCTGTAATACGCGCCCAGCGTGCAGACCACCACACCACGAAGGCACGCTAAAAAGGCGGGAGATATACCGTACAAACTTACGAGTTGTGATATTCCTCAGTACTTTGCCTATGTACTGAAATGTCGAGGAACCTATAGAACTAAGCAGCGAATTAGCGCCGAGTTCAGGTAGTTGCTACAGAGGTTCGAGAAGGATTGAAATATCTTTTTTCACTCAAAGAAACAATAACAAATGGCCTCTTCTCGGGCTTAAAGGAAAGCCTCCACTTCGGCTTTTAAATCGGGATAAGAAAACAAGAAACTATTCTGATACTAAACTAAACAGACCTAGCCGAAGCTAGACACAAATACCTAACGTAGTTGGCCCTTAAATTAAATTAGCCGGCGATTATCAACAAGCACGTACAATACAGCCGAGTGCTGTAGATTCAAGCGCGAAGTAGCCAGAAGGCAACCCCCCCCTCGCCACTAAGGACTCCTAAGAACTCTCTCTCACACAAACTAAATTGAACTTAAGTGCTCTTTCTAACTCATTTGCATAAAACTCTATATTAAAACCTCATTCTGGTAGGAAATAGTAGTAGATGGAAAACGAGAGTAGACAGTAAAGCATGGTTAAACTTAAAATAACTGTTAGAAACTTTAACTAACCTTACAGAGTTCTACTTCTATATTTCTAGTACAGAGTTCTGTCTAACCTTACAGAGTAATAGTAAAGAATAATTTCAATAGTTAATCTCTATGAAAGTGATAGACGAGCTTTGACCCAAACATATTTCTATAAATTAGTTCTACCCAAGAGAATTAAAATGTAATATTATCTTTCATAAGAATTTTCCAGTCAAGTTGGTATATTTGTCAAAGGTTTTTAACAACACAGCAAACTCAAAAGTTATAATTAAAAATTTTTAAATTTTGCTAAATTTCATCTTTTTGTTGAAACCGGAACAGAGAGAGGTTCTTAACAAAAGTTTAGTCTTTTAATGATCAGGATGAGTTCAAATAAAAAATTAATATTGAGTTCACACCATTCCGGAAATTGAATTCATTGTAAAATGTTTCCTCAAATAAAACCAACTGCAAATTGATTAAATTTGAAATGTTCAGGGGTAACTAACACTCAGACTTTAATCCATAAGAATGTAATTACTTTGAAGGTACAATTTTGGTACAAAATTGAGAAATAATCAGGAAATATTTTTAATTACGTAAATAATTTAAAATACAGTATTATGAGAAAATAAACTACGGAAATTGGATATTTAGAAACGAAATTTTCTAAAAGAAACGCATATTATTTGCTAAATTAAAACTGGGGCAGAAGAGTTAGCAAAGAAAATATCAATACTTTAATAAATATTTTAGTATTTGTATTTCACATTCACTATAATTATAGTAAAAATTTTTCTTTAAATTTAATTATAATGCTGAAAGGATATTAGTTCTATGAGCTATTTCTGTGCACTTAATCTTAAAAACTGTTATATAGCAATAAAAACACACATACTAGCTAATTACTGATATAATTTTAAAGAAATTTGAACAAATTAACAGCGCACAAAGTAATTTGCTACTTTAAGGAAAACAAAGATGTCATTATTTGCGCAAACAGAACTTTTAGTTTTCTTTCACAAAGCTGATAAAACATAATGGAAACAAAATTTTAATGCTCTTGAATTAAAAAAAAAGAGCATTTCGGAGAAAAATTTTTAATTAGTATGCATATTAATATAATACAAATTTTAGGATAACTTCTCATTTTCTATATTAATTATTAGTCCAAAGGAGCAATTCGCCCTGAAGGACTATTAATTTCGTTTTGGCATTTTGCGTTGGTTCTCTATAAATGTCAGACCACTTTTCAAATTGTTGCCACCAAATAATATCGCCCTGTGCTATATTTAAAGAAATTAAATAATGAAGAATCTCCATAAATGTATGTATGCTTCTCGCATTGGGATAAAACAACGGTACCTAGAGCCATCGAATTTTGAATGACGTAATCCTACTGCGAATATGGGCATATGGAAGCCCAAATTTGAAATTTGGAATTTGTTTTATTACCGATTTCATGTTTTGTAACACTTTAACGAATTTTTGATCAAAACTCAACAATTTCAAAGCAAGCAATGGCAACACTTTACGGGAAAAAAATTTTATCTTCAGCGCGCGGGTATTCTAAGGATATGCTGTTTGAAAACATTTTATGATTTTGCTGTTGAATCGAATTTTATGTGGCATAAGTCCCAAGAACGTGCGTGATATTTAATAAATAAGTAATCACACAATACGTTAATAACATAAAAGCCAAAAATAGTTTTGTAAAACCATCTTAGTAAAAAAGCATTGATTTGATGAACAGAGAAAGACTGAAAAAAAATAGAAAATGTATAACAACACTTAATACAGCATCGGGAATTCTAAACGTATAGTGCTATGCTGCTTTTAAAATTTTTGTAATTTTGCTTTATTTTTCTTTTTGTAATTTTGCTTGCTTCTGTAATTTTGCTTTTAAATTATTCATTATCAATATTTAATACCTTAAAATACAATTTCCATTATTTAAATCAAATACTTTCCATTTACAAAGATACCGAGCTATGTTCATTATTCTTCCTCTAATGTGATTTTTTTATTTCTCACGAGAAATCTGTCTGGTTCTTCGCATAGGGGGGAAGAAAGAATTCCTTTCAATTTCCATTCTATCTACGATACAAAAGGGCAAACAAAGAAGGTGAAACGCTATATAAGGTTTTAGGACTAAAGTTCTAGTTCAAATCAAATAAAATTTTATAAAGTAAATTGTAAAAAATATCTTTTTTAATTGCAGT